GCAAAGTGGCCACGCGACACATCATAAGACACTAAATACCCATCTTCCGGAATTGTCATACCATATTTGATAGGGTTCAAATATGGTCACACCTACACGGGTGAATAGAGGTCGCCCCAAAAGCCTCTATCCCTCTCGGAAAGACTGGCAACCTACCGAGAGTATTCCGCCCGCACGGAAGATCCTGACAAGCTGTCCATTGTGTATTCGATATGCCAAAACCAGTAACTACAACTGGTCTCATTCTCCTGACCCTGAAGGCTTCACCGACATGGCAGCACTGAGAAGGATGAGAAAGGAGAGGCCGACAAAATCTCAAGGCCGATCTAGGCTGCCACAACGAAGGAAGACAAAAATGATCATCTGTACTTTCAATGCACGTACGCTAGCATCAGATGCATCCATAGAGGACCTGATGGTACAAGCACGAATGATCAAGTACGACATCATTGGTTGGACCAAGATAAGAAGGCACGAATCTCACCATGCCGTTTTCGACACTGGAGAAGAATTGTTCCTAGGAACATGCGCTAAAAGAGGTGTCGGAGGCGTTGGTGTCCTTGTCAACACAAACTTGGCCATGAGCATTGATTCATTCGAATACCTAACAATCTGAATCGGACGTTTACATTTGAATAGATGTGGTTCACTGCCGGCAGTTTCTATCTTCGTTGTCCACGCACCAACATCTCATTATGATGAAAGAAAAATCGAGAAGTTCTACATGGAGCTGGAGAAGTTCTATAAAGAAGACCACACCTTCTACAAGATCATTGTGGGTGATTTTAATGCCAAGACAGGACCGAGAAGATCAGCTGAAGAACTTCACATCGGGACCCATGGCCTAGAATGGAACGAACAGGGTGAGAGACTGTCTGAGTTCATCATGTTGACCAAGACCATTCACGGTAACTCACAGTTCCAGAAGGCAGAATCCAAATGTTGGACATCGGAGTCTCCCGGTGGACGATTCCACAACGAAATAGACCACATCATATTCAATCAACGGTTTTGCCTGACCGATGTCGCTGTTGTCCCAAAATTTCAAATGGGACCGGACCACCGTCTCCTTCATGCAAAATTCTACTTCACAGAGCGGGGAGAAAGGGCTGCAAGATTCAAAAAGAGAACTCCCAGAATGAACACCAACTGGGAGCTCTTTGGCACTATTGCGGCAACATGGGAAGATGCCATTGTTGACAACATTGACGAGGAATACGATTGACTGGTTCAGCACCTCCATGAATTTGAGAGGAACGCCAAGAGAGAGATAGTCACAAAAAAAATTGCCTGTCTTCGAAAACTCTTGAGCTAATTCGCCAGCGTGATTTGGCGCATGCCTCAGGCAACCGCAAGCTCATGTCCAAGCTCGCAAAGCAGTGCAGAGATATGATCAAGGAAGACCTCAAAAAGAGAAGAGCAGAAGTGCTGGTAGATGCAGCAGAAGCCGGGAAAAGTATTCGTAACGCCTGCCTGTCCTTCGCCAACTACAAGACCAAGATGACTGCCCTCCGACATCCTGATGGATCCATCACATCCTCCAGAACGGCAATGGAAAAGATTATCCATGACTTCTACTCAAATCTCTTCGATAGCCATGTCCACTTGCCGACATACCAAATTCCACAGAATGGATATGTCGTTCCCAAAGTTCTCCCTTCTGAAATCCGAAACGCCATTTCATCGGTAAAGAAACAAACAGCACCCGGCCCAGACGAGGTCAGACCTGAACACCTGAAGAACCTGCCGTCAGTACTCATCAATACACTGGCTTGGCTCTTCACTCGCTACCTGTCTGAATGCAAGGTTCCGTCCCAATGGAAAACCAGCAGGACCGCACTACTGTTCAAGAAGGGAGACATCCATGACATTGGCAACTATTGCCCGATCTGCCTATTGTCTGTCATCTACAACTTGTTCACTCGAGTCATCCTGAGTAGGATTGGCGGAACACTAGATGAAGGACAACCATGCGAGCAAGCCAGGTTCCGCAAAGGATTCAGCACCATCGACCATATCCACATGATAACCAAGCTCATTGAGGTTTCTCGGGAGTTCAAGATGCCGCTCTGTTTAATGTTCATTGATTTAAAGAAGGCCTTTGATTCTGTTGAGACGGAAGCGATCATTGAAGCCCTAGCCAATAAGGGCATTCAAGCCCAATACATCAGGATCCTGTATTGTGGATTCACTACCAGGATCTCACCATTCTACAAAGAAGTGATCGTTGATGTCAGGAGAGGGGTTCGGCAGGGTGATACCATTTCACCAAAACTCTTCAGTGCAATCCTTGAGAACATCATGCGACGACTGGAATGGGAAGGAATGGGAGTGAATATAGATGGTCAGCAACTACACCACCTCTGGTTTGCTGATGACATTGTTTTAATAACACCAAACATCAGCCAAGCGGCACAAATGCTGGCCGACTTTGACCGTGAGTGTGGAAAGGTAGGACTACAGCTGAATATCACGAAGACAATGTTTATGAGAAACAGCCTCGTTCCTGACGTCCCATTCGCTATCAACAGAACGACCATCTCCGAATGCAACAGCTATGTGTACCTAGGTCGAGAAGTCAACATGACAAATGACCTTGCACCCGAGCTGCGCAGGAGGAAGAGAGCGGCTTGGAACGCCTTTAAGAACGTTGAAGAAATAGCTAGTAGGACGAAGAACCTCCAGCTCCGGGCACATCTCTTTGATTCCACTGTTATTCCTGCATTAACATATGCCTCAGAGAACTGGGTCCTATGCAAACAGGATGAGAACGCTATTCAGGTCTCCCAAAGAAGAATAGAAAGAGCTATGCTTGGAATATCACGTTTCACTCAAATGAGAGAAAGAATACGGAGTTCTGACATCTGTGGACGATCAAGAATCAGGGACGCTGTCTCATTTGCCAAGGTGTCGAAAATCAGATGGGATGGTCACATAATGAGATTTAAAGACGACTGCTGGACTAGAGCTGTTACTGACTGGATTCCACGGGATGTCAAAAGACTGCATGGCCGCCCACCTACCAGATGGTCAGACTTCTTCATCAAGATCATGAACGATCGGTTTGAGACTCTTCATGTTCCCAGAGTGAACAGATGCCATTGGGCTACACTAGCACGCGACAGGGACAAATGGAGACGTTACTGGCGCCCGCTCGAGCAAATCGACGACTAACGGGAAGTTAAGTGATTAAGTGATTTCTTGGAGAAAAGATAAATGTAGAATTTCAGTGGCTTCCACAACACACATCAATTCTGCCCAGAAGTTTTCTACTTGGATCTGTAAGGACCTGTCCACATTTTTTTTCATATAGAATTCAAGCTCATAAATCATGTCATCTGGACATTCTGATCTCAGGACATGAAAACACCAGGAAAGATACTCGGGGGGAAAGGTGCGACAGAGCCCTGTTTGGGTTGTCAGTGCCTTCATGCAAGTACTACAGAATCTGCCCCTAAGGCATTGGCAAGGCAAAGGTGCCGTCACTCGCCTTGATGCTGATGGTGTACCAAGAATGCTTCTGCAGAGAGGGGCAAATGGTATGACCATTCTCAAGACTCTAGCACATTAGAACATTTAATTACATGATTAGGCAGTTGAAGGAAATCTTTGAGAAAATACATTTCATTAACCCTTGGACCCTGCCTGATTTCACCAGTTTCTCCTCAATGATTCAGTTCTAAAAAATTTCTGTGGGGCTTTAGTAACAAACATATAAATACCATCTACAACCAATTCTTGAATGCTAAAATAATTCACAGGAATAAGAGCTATGGTCAAATAAGACTATTTAGCCATTCTCCTGAGCTTTTTTTCCCTATATTTCTTTCCTCACTTCTTTACAGTTCATCTCCAGAATATACAAACACCTACAAGTACAGTTTTTTTTTTCATAAAATTAAACACATCAAAGAAGAAATGTTCACCAATGAGTCCAAGTCTGAAGAGGAATTGAGCACATGTCTTTACAGGTTAAACAGGGTTTTTTTCCATATAATTTATTAGGGAACAAAGGAAAGCGTGTTGATTGCAATCATGAGGATTAAAATAAAGTGTAAAATATAGAAAGAATTGTTATCAAAGGGACCTGTGGGAAATAAATTAATGATTTGGAAATGACCAACTGTTCGGCATTGTCTAGAAAGAATATTTCTAAACCAAGGACTGATAATTTTTCCACAAAAGTTGTTCAATAGGAGAGAATTCGGTGACTGGAACAGCATCTGGATGAACCTCTGGTATGAGACTCCAAATACAGTGATATTAAGATTTTGTCTTTCCAAATCTCAAATCCTCTCCTAGGCATCACCTCTGCAGTCCCTACTCTTAAGCCATCTGTTGTCACGTGTGCGCCCTGGACATCCCCCCGAGTCAACAGACCTTCTGGAAATCTTTTAAATAGTCCATAAATTATCAACTTGAAACCATAACACATTTTTTCCACATTATTTTAAATAGCAAGAGTCCTGGGGCCAAGATATGTTATATAACCATGACATCTCATATGTCATGGAAAGGCTTCAAGCTTTAAAAAATCTAGATCATTAAGTTTGCAAGACATATGGAGACACAATCACAAAGAACTATACTGAAACATAAGTGGAGTTATGGCACACACATTTAAAGAAGTCAGGGACTGGCGTTATAGTACAATGGGTAGGGCAAGGGCCTTAGACTTGGCAGGCCCAGCTTCAATCCCCAGCATCCCATATGGTCCCCTGAGCACTGCTTGGAGAAATTACTGAGTGCAATTTCAGCAGTAACCCCTGAGTATATTCTATTGTAGCCCCTCACAAAATCAAACAAGAAACCGGTCTAGAAGAAATCAATACTATAATAAAGATGAGCAACTATGTCATAACTTTCTCTTCCCTAACTCTTATTTTGATCAACCTTAAAAATTAATAGTTCTTAAAAATTAGCAATTTTTAAAATCTCAATATGCTAAGAAAAAGGTAAAAATACATTTTAGTTGGGCATGTATTGGGCATATATAGTACCTCATTGTCTTTCTCGTTGAGTCCCTGTTTTAGTTCTTCCACTTGGTATCTCAGTTTCTTCACCTCGGCCTCACATTGGTCAACACGGCTGTTGGCATGTGTCAGTTCTGTTAATTTTGCCTGGTACTGTCTGCTGAGTTTCTGGTAGGCATGTTGGAGATCCAACAGTTCCTTCCAAAAGAAAAGAAAGATTCCATCATTTTTCATTTACTCTGGTAAATCATAAGAAAGTCAACTTCTGTGGACAAAGGATAAAAGCATATTAGGAAGATTTCACATGAGGCAACTCTTCACCTAGAACTCTATTTTTCTTTGATGAAATATTCTTCCACAGCTACAATTGGAAGATTTGTGTGTGGTTAAAATGGCTAAAAGACAACTTAACTTATTTTGCTCTTCAGTGAAGGATCCATTTCCCAGGCATGTAAATTTGTGTATGTGGATTTTCCAAAAGAGGAAAATCCACATAAGGATGTTTGTGGATTTATCCATAAAGGAATAGACTTTGATATGAGACTATGATAAGTGCAAGAAAAGCCATTCGGGCTGGAGACTGGAGAAACAGTATAGGGGGAGGGGTGCAAGCCTTGCATGTGGTCAACCTGGTTCAATCTCCAGCACATTATACAGTCCCCCAAGCCCACCAGGAGTGATCCCTGAGCACAGTGCCAGGAGTAATTTTTGAGAACAGCTGGGTATAGCTCAAAAACATAAAACAAAGAAAGGAAGGAAGGAAGGAAGGAAGGAAGGAAGGAAGGAAGGAAGGAAGGAAGAAGAAAAACAATTTATTAGCTAAATAAGTAGAAGTAGTAAGAGTCAGCAAATTATTACCAGCTTTTAATTATTTTTCTAAGGAAAATGCTTTGGCTGCAGCCGTGCTATGGACGGAACCCATCGTCACCACAGGGATCTAGCTGAGAGCCGGGGGATCAATTTTCAGAAGCAGACGCATCTAACAGGAAGTAACAGAATCTCTAACCAAGCCTGTTACAACATACACACTATGGATTAACAGATAACATTAAATTTCTTCAGTTTAAAAATATAACTTCTTTCTTATTGGTTTGCTATGGAAAATTAACAGAATTGTCATTGTAGACATCATCCTTAAAATAAAAATAAATTTCTACTTACTATATATTTCATTTGGAGACCACACCCAGACTTGCTCAGGTCTCGCTATTAACTCTCTGCTTAGAGATCACTCCTGGCAGTGCTCAGGGCACCATACACCATCTTGGGGATTGAATCGGGATCGGTCACATGCAAGGCAAACACCTTAGCCCTTGATCCTTATATCTTGTTCCTATTAACATTATATTTTAAGGATTTCCTAGATGTTCCTTATATTTCCTAAAAACATTCTCTTATAGTATTTTACAGTGGAAAAAAACTACAGAGAATGGCACATAAAAAATGCAGAGATAAATCATATTAGAGCTAGGTAGTCAACCGGAAATGAAATATTTCCTTATATCTTCTGTGAATAATATTGGCCACAAAATAATATAATTAACACATTTAAAAGTTTCTTTTCAGGGGGGTGAGTCTCTGGAGAGGTATACACTAGGTTTGGGGTCCTACCAGCAATTCTTAGGGTGTAGTTGGGTGCAAGGGCTTGAGGGTGCGATTCTGCCTTCCTATGGTTCTGAGGATGCTCAAGCCATCTCAGAGAAACTGGGTACCTCTAGGGATGCACCCAGACATGTTCTGGGGACCATGTGATGCTGGAAATTGAACCCAGGTCACGTGTATGCACACACAACAGAAGCACACACCAAACTGCTACACTTTCTCCTGGATCCTCTGGTTTAAAAGGTTTTGGGGGTTTTCTAGTCCTATTATGGCAAGAAAACTGAAAAATAGAAAAATTTAAAACATAACATTTTTTCCTTTTCAGTTCTTTGGTGATACCCAGCTGTGCTCAGGGCTTACTCCTCAACTTTGTGCTCAGGGCTCACTCCCGGTGGAGCTCAGGGGACCATATGGGGTGCTGGATTAGTGGCTTGCAAGGCCAATGCCTTGCCCACTGTTCTATCTGACTGACTTATTCATTTAAAAAAATTCTGCACCATGATTTACAATACTGTTAATGACAGGGTCTTAACTGAACAATGTTTCACCAGAGTGACCCCCTCCCCGCCCCCGCCTGCAAATCAACCAGAGATTCTATCACACCACGGGATGCTCAGGCCTACAGAGCAGTTCTCAAGTTCTGTTGCTTTGGGCCATTTAAAAGAGGAAAGTTTCTAAGGATGAGCGCAAAGCATGAAATCTGAAAATGATGAGTGTCATCACAGTAAATATACGTTGAGCGCATAACAATCAATACAATATAGACTCCACAGAAAGTACAACAAAGTCATCTCTTACTGTATGAAAGGTTCTGTCGAGGTTAGGCAAGTTCAACGTGTGAAGGCTGAAAAAAGACATATTTCACAGGAGAGAAAATAGAGTATTCCAAACAATCAAAGTTGTTCAGTTTCACATAAAATATAAGAAAAAAATATATTTCCAGTTTAGGTGATACAGTTGGTGAAATGGAATGATAGAAATAGAAAACAGATTTGCATCTTCCAGGGGTCAAGGCTGGAAGAGGGGGGCGGGGGGATCTGGCTTAGGGGAATTCAAGGACTCTGGGGAGGAAATGTTCTGGCTTGTGACTGTCAATGCAGACATCCTAGTTGCATCACATAACAGGATTGATATTATCGGTAATCCATAGGGTACTCAGTGATTATAAACTGCATATGAATCTGTAAGTGTCAAGTATAGACATTAAACAAGGTTTAGTGTAACGTAACAATCTGCTGCCAGAACATTTGGAAAATTGGGCCCGAGAGATAATTCAGGAGGTGAAGTACTTGCCTTGCACGTCCCAGTTCAATCCTGGGCACTGCCGGCAGTGCCCTGAGTATTCCCAGGAATGACCTCTGAGCACTGCATACGGTGTCCGAGCCCTACTGGAATGATCCCTGAGCACTGCATATGGTATTGAGCCCTACCAGAATGATCCCTGAGCACAGCATATGGTATTGAGTCTGACCAGAATGATCCCTGAGCATTGCATATGGTGTTGATCCCTACCAGAATGATCCCTGAACACTACATATGGTGTCTGGGTCCCAGTGAAATGATTCCTGAGCTCAAAAGAGTGTGCTCCCTCTAAAAAAATTCTGAAGAACTAAGAAACCATGCGTTAGTAAAATGTAAGGAATTCATTTATAGAGAAATGGTTGTAAAGTTTGTTATAATGAAAAATTCACAAGAACTCCGACTACCCATTCTACTTTCAGCAACATAGACACAGAGCTCTGTGAAATACCACTGTAAAAGGGGTATTTGCTGCTGTGTTTTATTTTTAGTAAGAGGCGACAGGACCCAATACCCAGATTATCAGATTAAAATTATTCAACCATCAGGTACAACAGGCCACTTTCACATCTTCAAAGTATTCTACTATATGGAAAAAAATGGAAACAGTCCAAGCAGACAGTATTATGGGGAAAAAACTTAGATAAAGGGAATTTTGATGATGTGAGTTTTGATTGGTTGGCCTCTGCCTCCTCGGAATTCCATTTTGAATGTAAGGATGGGCCGAGGATGTAGATGGGGGTGACAGACCTGGGGGAAAGAGTTAACCTCCTCTTTCAGGGGCCCGATGGAGAGTTCCATATCAGCCACTGCAAGCCCATGCGCCTCCAAGGGAGGGGAGAGACTCGCTTGGGGAAGGCTGAGGTGAGAGGCCACCCACAGGCCTTGCCCATGGGAGCCCTAGGTTTGATTCCGGGCACTGCACATGGTTCTGTGAGCATGGCCAGGAGAACCCCATGCCAGAGCTGAAAGGTCTGGCACAACCCTCCTCTCCCCACAAAAGAAAAAGAAAAAAAAGAAAAGTTGTTGAATAACTGGGAGAATCCCAGAATCACGCTGCTGTCCTTAAAGATGCCCCATAGGAGTCAGAACCATGATTACTGGTACCTCAATCCCAGTGATATGGCTGCAGCCTGTGGAGCGTCAGGTAGACTAGATGATTTGACTGATTGGTCATTTTAAGTCCCACCTGCTCCAAAGACATCCAATCAAAATAGGTCATGAGATAGCTGGGACTGGGAGACAGCAGCAGGTAAAGAGAAGACCCCATTCAGGAGCTCGAGTGCTCTCCCCACCCCCTCTGTCTGTCTGTCTATCTGTCTCTCACGCTCAGCTTCGTCACTTAGCACAGACAGACAACAGGACAGCAGGAATCTCATCCACATGCACCTGGCCATGGCCCAGAGACTAAAGAAGGTCAAAGGAACAGGAAGCCACTGGGATCCAGTCCTAGAGAAACTCAGCACAGGTAACAGAGCAGCAACCCAGGGAGATAGGTGACAGGGTCCCAGGGCAGAGTCAGACTAGGAAAGGGTTCCCTGGGTAGAGAACAGAGGAGAGCCAGCACCAGCCCACTGCACACTAGGAGCGAGCAGATGGCAAGGGGTGGGATTTAGAATGTAGTAGAGCAGACCAATAAAAATAAAATAAAAACAGAGACTGCAAGAGATTGCAGTCCTAAGCACAGGTTATATAATGTTTTAGGACATAATTACCTAACATAATAACCATAAGGGTTATGATTCAGTGGTCATAGCCTGGCAGTTAAGAACATATGTTAGCTGAAATCTCACGGTCCTTTCCACATCGCTGCCTTGCACGCAGCCGACCCAGGTTGATTCCTCCACCCTTCTCAGAGAGCCCAGCGAGCTACTTAGAGTATCCCACCCGCACGGCAGAGCCTGGCAAGCTCCCTATGGTGTATTCGATATGCCAAAAACAGTAACAACAAGTCTCACAATGGACACATGATTGGTGCCCGCTGGAGCAAATCGATGATCAATGGGAGGACACTGCTACAGTGCTACAGAGCAGACTGGGCACTGGGTATTATCTGCAAATTTCTCACACAATTCTCAAGTACCCATGAGCTCAGGAAAAATGCACTTGGACATTAACAATTTCAGCTGGGGATAGACAGGTTTGAATCAGGTGTCTGGACAGTCACTGTAAAAAATATCTTAAGCGAGCAGGGGAGGGATGGGAAGATGTAAGTTGTTGGTGGGCTCTCTGGATGGCTCTCTCTCTCTCTCTCTCTCTCTCTCTCTGCCTGCATTCGGTGCTCTCGAGCTGCTGTG